CGGCGACCAATCGGTCTCCGGAGGACCATGACCTGCTTGAAAGATCGACAAAGAAGTACAAGAGGACTCGCGACCAAGTTGAATCACCGGCGGCAACACCCATGGAAGATGTAGCTTTAGAAGACTCACCATTGACGAGTGCAAACACCTTCCCAGATGTAGGTCCGGAGATGGCATCGACGCCGGCAAAAGACAACCAACCGAGGTCCTCGAACCCCCCTCTGCCAGCGAGCTACAAACTCAGCCTGCGCAAATTTATGACCTACAAGAAAGATGATCTTAAAGGAGTAGAGGACGACGTGTCCGATGATGAGATCGCAGATGAGCAAGAAGACCCGGAGTGTCCAAGAATTAGGTTAACTAAGGAGGAGAAAATTAGGATAAGAAGACCATGGAGAAGGACCCTCATTATTCGTCTGCTGGGTAAGGCAGTTGGCTACAATTTCTTGATTAGACGCCTTCGAAATCTTTGGAAGCCGGAAGGCCATCTGGAATTAATTGATTTGGAGCACGAGTTCTTCCTCGCACGATTTGAGCTGCAAAGGGACTATGAACATGCGAGGAGCGAAGGGCCTTGGATGATTCAAGATCACTATCTGATTGTAGAACGATGGAAGCCAAATTTTAGGCCAAAGACGCACAGAACCCAGAAGATCTGCGTTTGGATCAGTGGTGAGTGTACGGGTGTGTTATGTCGTCCTCGGGGGATTGGGGGATATGGCACGCAATACGCAATCACAAGAAACTAGGCACTAGCACTAGGCAATCAACAAGAAGCTAAGCAAACTACAAGTTTAAGGAAATGATAAGACTAACACATATACACAAAGATAAACACAAAATAAAGAAATAGGACTCAAGCTTGGGAGCATTATCATCTAGATGCTTTAACAACCTAAGGGATTAGGAAGAACAAGTAAGCAAGGAATCAAGCGGGAATGCACGTAGATATCCTAGTCTATGAACCATTTTCATGATTAATAAACAAGGATTAGAACAAGAAATTGCCCCACTTTCATGGTGAATCAATTCCAAGTCCATCAAGCACACAAAGCATCTAATCCCCCAATTTCCCCTATTTTCGTAGGAAGAAATCGGGTCTATGCAAGGGGTGGCTTGGATTCATCACCCAACTCTCGTTGAGGCAAGGAATCCTCCAAAAACAAGCTAATGAATGTGTACATCAAACATTAACAAGATATAAATACAAAACCTTCACAAACACATGAACCCTAGGTTAGAGTTCTTCCCCTTTTTGCAATAATCACAAATCAAGCATCAAGATAGATAATACAACCCTAACTCAAGTCCATAAACTAACTACTCATGATTAAATAGCATAAAGAACACAAAAGCATAAGTAACAAACATAAATCTTGCAAAATAAAGAGATAAAAGGAAGAAAAGCTTCTCTATTGAAAATGGATGGTGGAATCTTGAAATGTTGGAATCCAAGCTTCAAATCCAAGATTACAAGCTTCAAAAGTGTTAAGAAACATAAATCTAAGCCTATTCTAACCTAAAAATATGAAGGAGAATGAAAGAGAGTGTCTAGGGTTCTAACAAGAGTCAAAACCAAGTAGAAATGACCAAAAATCGTGCTTTAAAAAATGCAGAGCACAGTGACAGGGCCAGGGACATGGCCATGTCCCTGGCCGTGTCAAAAAAAGCAGTTCACACTGGAATTGCACAGAAAATACACGGCCACAGACACGGCCGTTCACTTGGCCGTGTCTTTTGGCCTTCAAAACGTAAGAATTTGGAACTATGGTCTTCATGAACGTTGTATCCCTTCGAGTATTCTTTCTAATGGCGAAAGAATCACTTCATTTGGACATTCCTAAGCCGAGATATGGACCAAAAACCAAACAGTGGTCAGTTTTGAATTGTAAGTTTAGAACTTCAACTTCAAGGACAATTTTGAACCCTGTGGCTTCCTTTTTAGGCTTTGATGTCATAATATGCGTTGTAGCTCTTTGAGTCTTCTTTCCAATGGAACAAGAATCACTTAATTTGGATACTTTTAGACCGAGATATGACCCAAAAGCATAACAGTGGACAATCCATTCGAGAATTTCAGCTTGTTGACACTTGTTCCACTTTTGCCTTGGTTTAATTTGTCCATATGATCAACAACATTGAAAACATCACTCTTTGGCTCCTTTGGAAGTGTTGCATCCATCTCCTTAGCATCACCTTGGCTCCCCTTGACTCCAAATGCATCCAACATGATCTAAAATCCTTCATTTCTACTCAAAGATAATGAGTTGTGCATAATGGATCAAATGAGCAAAATAAAGATCATTTTGAACAACATTATGACACTTCATGAGCAAAACAAGGCTAAATATGGGGTAGACATGGGGTATAAATATGAACAATTATGCACTTATCAATCAGATTGCCCGATATCCCGATTGAGTACTTTGACGAGGACACTTTGATGAAGCTGGGAGATAAAATCGGGAAGACTGTCAAGATTGACGACACAACATGCCTCGCGTCTCGAGGGAAGTTTGCCCGAATCTGTGTGGAGATTGATATCACCAAGCAGCTACTGGCCAAATTTTCAATGGAGATGAGGAATTTCCAGTCGAATATGAAGGCATCCATCTCATCTGCTTCAAATGTGGTAAATACGGGCATAGACTTGATTCTTGTGGGCAAGACTCTATACCTAAAGACCATTCTAGTACTGGAAATATGGAGACCGACGCTCGCAACACTACGGAGAAAGATGCACCACAAGAACCAGAGCAACCTCGCCAAAAGAATGCGCCCAACGTTCACATGAAAGAAAGATTTGGGGCATGGATGCTTGTCACGAAAAGAGACCGACGACCCTTTAAAAGGAACGAGAAAACTAGCAACCCCCAAAAGCAGAGGGTGGCAGAAAAGACTCAGGACCCAAGCACCTCAAATGGCCCCATTGCCCAGAACCTCAACTCCAGATTTGGCCCTTTGAGCAACCTCGACGAATAAGAAGATGAGGCGACAGAAGTGGAGAAAGATACAACCAACTTAAGAGCGGCCGGTAAGGCACCGATGGGTGATCCCTAATCCAGTGATCAATCGAACATTAGTCCGAGGCTCAATAAACATTCAGAGGAGGTAAGGATTAGTCGCACAGTCACACGCCAGAAGAGTCGGGAGAGATCAAACGACCCTGGTAGGACTAGCATGGGAAGTAACAGCAGGATGAGCAGGTACACCGACGATAAGGCTCCAGCAAAGGATCCCCAGACCAGGAATAATCATAGTTGAGTCCTATCACCCAGTCGCTGACCCCCGGACATCTGGACAAACCAGCCAGTTCAACAGGAGAGAAGGGAAAGGTCTTCTACTCCCCGGAGAGCTGCAGCCGAGGAAAAACATACACTCGTGAGAGGGTCAGTGAGAGGTATGCCAGTCACCAGAGAAACTGTGAACCATAGACAGATTGATCCTGGCATACTGGCATCTCACCTTGTTGATGTTATCACATCTTTGCTTGTTATTATAGTTATTTTGAATCATCTCAGTATTTAAGTTCTTTAATTTTGCTTATTTAATACATATTTTCCTTGCTATTATCATTTAATTATGGTTCACACTTGTTTTGAATGATTTACGGTGTTTGTTAGTGTTTTTGAACCATTGTAGGTCAATTCTATGAGCAAGGGAAGTTCAAGGATGAGTTTGGAGCAATTTTGGACAAGTTCGGGGACCAGAAAGCTCGACGCGTCGAGCAAATTTCCAGAATGTTTTGTGATCGAGACCCGCTGGTCTCGACGCGTCGAGCGAAGCGCGAATGCGACAACTTAATTACAAAAGGGCGTTGGCTTCAGCATCTTCAACTTCCAATTTCTTTATTTAAATATAGGAATTATAATTTGAGTCCAATTTTGTACAAGATTCCTATTTCATCTCAACTTTGTACCCACTATAAAATCCCTCCTTCCTCAACCCTAAGATAGGACGAAGAGATTTTTAGAGTTCTTTGTAGACAAGAAAGAGAGGAATCAAGAGGCTCAAGTTGTCTTTGGAAGCAGGGAGGAAGCCAAGGAGATTTGGGAGAATCGCTTGGTCAATTCTTGTACTCTTTTGATGATTTGTAATCCTTTATTCATATTTGCTATGTATAATTTAGCCATGCTCGGCTAAATTCTTTAAGGATTTTTGGGTGAATTTGTTTATAAACCTATGTGCCTAGTTCGTTAATTTCTTAATATATTTATGTTTGGTTTTATGATTTGAGTTGCAATCTCGTTTTAATCTGTTGTTGTTGGTAGTTAAAAGCCTAAATTACTAGCTTCACAGTCATGTTTGTGTCACCAATGGGAGTTAGGGCATAAATTAGGGCACACACGATTGCACCTAATGGTTGGTCCTTGGGAAAGGGGAACTTATTAGGGGAAGTTTATTCTAGATTATTGCTCATCGGGAGATGGTAGTAATTAGGAATAATTGAATGCTGATCTTTGATCTTATTGGGTGTTTAAGCCATGGGAGTGGAAATTCACTAGGAATAGAGATTACGGGAGTAATTCGATTCCACTTTGCATTCCCATACAAATCTTAATTCCAAACCAAATATTACAAACGTTAATTGGCACTAGGTGATTAAACATTGTGACCCCAAGAATCCTATTTTGCTCTATTGTCTACAAAACCTTGCTACTTTTTTTATTCTGCTTGTTATTTTATGCAATCAATCAACCTTCAAGTTTTGTTCGGACTAGTTTCATATGAGTAACCTAGTAGCTAGTGATTAGTACCCCACCTCTCTGTGGTTCGACAACCCGAATACTCCGGGTATTATTTGTTTGCCCCAAATTACAGCAATCACTTGTGACGAAAGATAACTCGTATGCACCGCCTGACGATGGAGCGGACTTCTTTGACTGTGATACACCAAATGAAGTAATGGAGGAAAGATATACGAATACAAGCCAGTCTGGCTTGGCTGCGGAAACCCGCCTGCTCAATTGAGCTCCCTTATCCCTTTTCTTGTTTTTATGATGAATGTCTTAGTTTGGAATTGCCAAGGGGCGGCGTCCAAAGTTTTTCGCCGTACCCTCAAAAATTACTTGCGTGAGTTTAAGCCTACCGTTTTGTGTCTCCTGGAGCCAAGAGTTTCCGGAGACAATGCGAATGATATATGTTTTGCCCTTGGCTATGATGAATGGCTAAGGGTTGAGGCTATTGGTTTTTCTGGTGGGATCTGGGTTTTTTGGAAGACTGACATCGTGGTTCAAGTCTCCAATACTCACCCCCAATTTGTGCTACTGAGGGTTACAGAGGGTAGCAACCAACCATGGAATCTATCCTTTGTCTATGGTAGCCCTGACTACATCCTTAGAAGGCAACTCTTTACGGACTTGTCTCAGGAGGGGTTGAATTTTGAAGGACCTTGGTTGTCTATAGGAGACTATAACTCAGTGTTAACAAGGGACGAGGTCTCTTGCAGTACTAACTTCTCATCTACACGTTGTGCAGGTTTTAGCAAATGAGTCTTCGATGAAGGCTTAATTGATCTCAGGTTCGAGGGACCTCAAGTCACATGGACCAGAGGACTGAGCTCATCATCGTTTAAAGCGGCAAGACTTGATCGCGCTCTATGTAATGTGGAATGGAGAATGCTCTACCCTGATGCGAGTGTAACCCACCTCCCTATGGTCAGCTCTAACCATTCCCCACTCCTTATAAAGACTATAAAGACGCAAGGATCTGGAGTCTCAAGAAACTTCAAATACAATGCAGCTTGGACTTCGCACCCAGGGTTCATGAACTTTGTCAAGGATAAATGGAATATTGACGAAGGACTGGAGCAAGCAAAGATGGAATTAGCTAATGATTTGTTATCCTGGAACCACAGTACCTTTGGGAGTATATTCCAGAGAAAGAAAAGAGTTCTAGTAAGGATCGAAGGGGTCCAAAAGGCTCTTGCAAACCGGCCAAGATCGGACTTAATCAAATTAAACAAGAAGCTTCAGAAGGAATTGGAAGAGATCCTAAATCAAGAGGAACTCTACTGGTTTCAGAAGTCTCGCGAGGACTGGATAGCATCTGGAGATCGCAATACAAGGTTCTATCACGCAGCAACTGCAGCCAAAAAAGCTAACTCTAGGATTACCACACTAAGGAACAACCGAGATGAGTGGCTAACATCTGATGAGGAAATATTGAACCACATTACAGACTTCTTTACCAACTTGTATACAGAGGACATGAGGGAGTCAAGACAAATTGGGTGGAGGAGATCCTTTCCAACCCTTCTCGAAGCAGACCGGGACTATGTGAACGCTCCATTCTCGGCCCTGGAAGTTAAGGAAGCATGCTTCGACATGGCACCTTGCAAGGCCCTTGGGCCGGATGGCTACCATGCTGGATTCTATTAACGTTTATGGCCGATAGTGGGGGAGAAGCTGACAGCTTTCGTTTTGGACTATTTCAGGTCTGGTATCTTCCCAGATGGAAGCAACGATACGATCATAACCTTAATCCCTAAAGTGCAAAACCCGGAAAATGTCAAACAACTACGACCTATTAGCCTTTGCAATGTATCGTATAAGGTGATCTCAAGGACATTAACATCAAGATTGAAAATGGCCATACAAAAATTAATAGGCCCCAATCAGTCGAGCTTTGTTCCTGGGAGGCAGATAGTGGATAATATACTTGCTTATCAAGAAGTGCTAAATTCAGCCAGCCTCAAGAAAGGAAAAGTGGGGTCGATGATTCTTAAAGTAGACCTCGAGAAGGCTTACGATAGACTGTCATGGAGCTTTGTCAAGGACACACTCCGGGAAGCAGGTTTTAGCGAAATCTGGATAAGGCACGTAATGGGGTGCATCACAACAACTAGACTAGCCATCTCTCTTAATGGTAGAAAATCACAGTGGTTTAAGCCATCAAGGGGCATTCGGCAAGGCAACCCTATCTCACCATTAATATTTGTTCTTTGCATTGAGCGCTTTAGTCACCTAATAAATGAGATGGTTGAAAGTGGTGAGTGGAAAGGCATTAGTGTGTCAAGGAATGGCCCAAGCATAACATACCTCCTCTTTGCGGACGATATGGTCTTGTTGGGAGAGGCCACACTGCAGCAAGCACTGGTTATCAAATAATGCCTAGATAACTTCTGCAACAACTCAGGACAAAAGGTAAATCTTCAAAAGTCTTCGGTGTTCTTCTCAAAGAACACCCCTCCTGCTGATCGGCGTGCAATAACAGAGCTATTAAATATTAACACTACTGAAGATCTGGGAAAGTACTTGGGAGTTCCATCACAACACGGAAGATTAAAAAAAGAATCGTACCAGGGACTTATTGACAGAGTTAAAAGCAGGTTATCAGGGTGGAAGATGAAGACACTCTCATTTGCGGGAAGAAGGGTACTTGCCCAATCCGTCCTCTCTGCAATCCCCATCTATTCTATGCAATCTACGGTGATACCTGCGGGGGTGCTTGAAAATATTGAGAAACTGGTTCGTAACTTCCTATGGGGAGGTGCTACTGGAGAAAGAAAATGCAACCTATTGGCCTGGGAGACAGTTACTAGAGACTTGAAAGATGGAGGGCTAGGAATAAGAAAGCTAGACAGTATGAATTTGGCCTTCATGGTCAAATTAGAGTGGAGGATCCAAATGGGAAAAGAGGGGCTCTGGACCCAGATCAGGAGAGCAAAATATGGAGTACAGAGTATGGATCCTAACACATGGCAACCCAAAACGGCCATGACGAATGCCTGGAAAGGAATTCTCAGAGCATCTCCAATACTCAATAAGGGACTTAAGAAGATCGTCAGAAACGGTAGGAATACACGGTTTTGGCTCGATCCATGGATCGACCAACGGCCCTTGGCTGAGTTCATCGCTATCAACCTACCCCTCCCAACGCTTTACGCTCAGGTTTCAGAGTACTGGGACGACTCCACAGGTTGGAAGTGGGATGAGTTCGACCACCTTCTGCCACCTCAGGTTCTGAACAAAATAGCGGCATTCATTTTGATTGATGAGGGAATGGAAGATACCACTGGTTGGGGTCCCGAAAACTCTGGGGAGTTTTCTGTTTCCTCGACGTATTCCATGCTAGCCAGCCACCAGCCGGCCCCAGGATCGCGAAAGTGGAGCAACATCTGGAACCTGAAGATCCCAAGCAGAATCCAGTCCTTCCTTTGGCTAGTAAGACATAATAGAATAATGTCAAACGAGAATAGAGCCAAGAGAGGCTTTACACACAATGACAAGTGTGATCTCTGCAGCGACGTGGTAGAATCAACCGAACACATCCTACGAACATGCCCAGTCGCTAGACAAATTTGGGATGCTCTAGTACCTACTCTGGATAACAGTATACGAAGCTTACCCTTTGTGGAGTGGTTTGATGCAGGGGTCGAAGGCTGGAGATGCAACAGACGTAAGCATAACAACAGGATTATTTTTGCTGTCGCATTGTGGTGGCTTTGGAAATGGAGAAATGACAGAATCTTCAACGGCAAGAACTATGAGACCACCCAAAAGATCTACTGGATTGACAAGCAAGCAAAAGAGATTAATGAGGCATTTGACAAGAATGAGAGGTTCGGGTCAAGGACACCAACGAGAAGCTGGAGGCTATTCAAATGGACAAAACCCCCACCAGGGCGGGTAAAGATCAACATAGATGGATGCCACAACCCCAGCACGAACCAAGCTGGGTGTGGGGGTTTGATCAGATATGAGAAAGGCTCTTGGATTAGAGGATTTTCGTATGTTGTGGGGACCTGTTCAATTGAGTCTGCCGAAGCCTAGGCGCTGCTAAAAGGGATCCAGCTAGCAAATGCACTTGGTTTGAAGAAGGTGTGCTTCGAAAGTGACGCATTGAGCGTGGTAAATGATGTGAACCGGAACGAGAGAACTGGCAGTACCACAAACAACATCATTCATGCTTGTAAACGTGAACTCAGGAGGATCCCGACATGGGTGGTATCATATGTGCCAAGGGAACAAAACGCCGCAGCAGACTGCTTGGCCAAAACAGCTGGGCCAACCACAGGCCTAAGAATCTTAGAAACCTCACCGGACTTACTCGAGCAGACCCTTGAAGAGGACAGATTTGGCATACCAATTTGGCGCCAACTAGACAGCTCCCTTTTGTAATGTCCTTGGGTATTCCCCTTTCATAAATTCTAAAAAAAAAAAAATAATAATAATAATAATAATAATAATAATAATTGTTTTTTTTTGAGAAAATAATAATAATTGTTTTTAAAAAATATAATTAAGTCAATCATATACTTGGGGGGATTTATTGACAAAAAGAGTATTTAAATCACACAACAAATTGAAGTGGAAAACTACCTCGCAATGTCTTTGTTTGGCAATCAGCACTTAGCTCTTCAATATTAGTATATATTTAATATTTTATGCCATAAATTTTATTTGCTCTCCCTTATGTCCCGTATTTGGTTTCAACCATACCTATACAATTATTTTATTGACAATTATAATCAATCTTGACTATATTATCTTGCATTTGTAAACTTAGAATTACCTATTTAAATACGCAAATTCAACATTCAATTATCTATGCATGAACAATTCTAATATAATCTTGCTTTAATATACTTTAAAGTACTTATTTAAAAAAAAATTATATTGGACATTATTTCAATCGTGCAATGAGCGTACAAAACTAATAATGTCAATAAAGGCTTTTTAAGCCAATCTTTGAATATCAATAAGCCTTTTGACTTAAAAAAAAAATTGAAAAAAAAAAAAAAGAAGAGAGAATTGGTTGAAAAAAAAAAAAAAAAATTAACTAGAAAAATCTAGACTAAATAGCATGAATGGAATTAGCAAAAAGTTTAGACGTAATGGCAACAGATGGTGTATCAAAGAACTGTAAACCATACAAAAGATGGTCAAAATTTTTGGCAGGCTCAAGTCCACATATATTGTGGACCATAATAATAATAATAATAATAATAATAATAATAATAATAATAATAATTATTATTATTATTATTATTATTATTATTATTATTGTTATTATTATTATTTAGCCATGAAGGCAGCCACATGATTTTGCTTTCTAAGCACATGTTTAAAATTCGTTTGCCAATCCTTTTGAAGCCACCGAAGGCACTCATTAGTGATAGGACCACGAATGCCCATCCTAGCTTCCTTACTACAAGTAATCAATAATCTCCTTAGCATCACTTTTAATGATGATCGTGGACCATAATTTAAAACGACATTCAGATCATGTATCTGCAGTTAACATATTATATACCTTCAACTAATAAATTATGTATCTACTACAATTAACAGATTATGTATATATGTGTATATATTTAATATATTATGCATGTACTTACAATTAATTTATTAAATATTAACACATAACATGTTAACTGTAGACACATAATCTGATTGTTATTTTGTACTGTGGTCCAGAATGTATTTAGGTGGACTTAGTCTATCGTACAATTTGTCAACAATCATTAACTAATTAACTTCAATTCCATATATGATATCTATATACATAGTGTGCCATCCAGTTTAGTAGCTTATACAATGTTTTGACTTTTGAGTATATCCAGAGGCTTGCAATTTACTTCAACTCTTAAGGGTCAAATAAACCTTCTAACTATATATCAAGGTGTAATTAGGCTCTCAAACTAACAAAAAAAAAAACACATTCAATTGAACCCTTAAACTTATTAAAAGTGTGCAATTAACTTTTTTAACCCTTATCTCAAACTTTTTTATGCTTTCAAAAGAAACTTTTTTATAGTTTCGATCAGTTTTAAAATTTTCCCGTACTGGCTCTTCGTTTTGGTCCAAATTAAAATTTCCAGAAATGAGAGGGAATATTGCCTCTTGGTATGACAAGTGTTTGGGGGCTGAGCTTTTTAAGGCCGTTCTGATTTCCGGTGTGGTTCTCTACTTGGCCTCCATTTTTCTCTTCAAAAACCCCATTTATTCACCTCCTGAAGGGGTACTGATATCGCCGGAGGTGGCGGAGTTGAGCAGAAAAAATGAATCTCCGACCAACATCAACCACCTACTATTCGGCCTTATCGGCTCCGAGAAGGCATGGCACCACCGGAAGGCCTACATCGAGTCATGGTGGCGGCCCGGCGTCACCCACGGCTTCCTTTATCTCGACGTGGCGCCCACCGGGGATCTCCTCCCTTGGTCGCCGTCTTCCCCGCCGTACAGAGTCTCAGACGATATAAACCAGATGGTCCAAGAGACGAAGCACGTGGCCCCGATCATGGCGCGCATGGTGCATGGGATAATGGAGGTGTTTAGGGAGAGGCACGAGGGGGTGAGGTGGGTGGTGATGGGAGACGACGATTCTGTGTTCTTCGTGGAGAATATGGTTGATGTTTTGGCGCAATATGATCACA